CAACAGTCATGGTTATGAAAATTGTCGGTTTCCTGAAATGCGTTCTCATGAGTGCGGAGGCGTTCCGCAGCCGCCGCGGCCTCTGACTGACTGACCGTCCCCAGTCACATACTCGCACAGCGCAGTCCTCACTCAGAATGGGCTATACTCGCGCGAACAGTTGCTGTGACACCATCATCGTCAGCGGGCGGGTTCATTCTTTTTATTTTTATTTTTTTATGCGGGGTGAAAGGTGCTGTGCCGCGCTCACGCATATACCAACCTCGCGTATACCACACGATGTGAGTAACGTACTGTGTTCCCATCCCCCCCCCCCCTCGCGCGGCTTAACAGGTCGCGGTCCGCGTGGTCCTCGCGGTGCGGCCGCGCGGCGCACGGTGCTGGCGACGGGTGGAATAGAATCGTTTCATTTAGCCGGGCGGCGGCGCGACCAGCAGCAGGAGGCTCTCGCCGGCACCCAGGCAGCCGCTCACGCGAATTCCAATTTCAATGTTGTTGCCCTGCGCTGCGCGCGCGCGCGACGCCTCTCCCCCTGCCTGCCCGGGCTTTTGCTTTGAAGTTTGTGTTGGCCTAAGTTGCGCGCGCGCATAGCCCATAGATTGATGTAGTTATACAACTTTGCAGCCAGCGGGCGTCGCCATACTGTGTGTGTGTATGTGTGTGCATGTACGTACGTGCGTGTGTGTGTGCGTGTACATAATGGCGCGAAAGCTGGGCCGACACTGCCAGCCAGTCCCCGAAATCACCAATTACTACTACTTTACTGGTCGCGCCTGGTGCAGAATACTGTAGTAGTAGTGGTAGTAGTCAATCAAGCGCCACGATGAAAGGGGACCGCGCCACTATAGTATTGGGTGTGGGATTGGTCCGGATTGGTCGGTGGGAAAGGGGAGGGTGGGGAAGGGCTTGCTGGCAGCGCCTCGGCGTCCCTGACCCTGAGCGACTAGCGGGGTGCTTTACCCTCAACCCGCCCATCATAGTGTGTGGCACGGAATATATATCAATCAAAATTTCAATCGCGACTTTTAGGATATACGTATATTTCTTTTCGTCTTCGTCTCACGGAAAATATCATTTAACCAATCGGGGTGGTTCACGTCCACAACAACGGCGAGCGCCTGTCTTGTAGTAAATACTGTGCCGTTCGCAGGCGTGCGAGAGTGTTGCCTACTCGCACGGGGAGGTGAGGAGACGAGATCATCCAAAATGTCCCTATTGACTTGAACCTGAACAACATGGAGCTTGATCTCACGGTGACTTTGCCAGCTTATAACTTGAATCTCTTGTTTCTCTGTAGGCTGTCCGGCCAGTGCACGGACGCGGACGCGGCGCGCGGCCGCTGCTACGGCGGGTACGCGCGCGTCGCGGCGCAGATCCGGCGCGCGCGCCAGGAGGCGGCGGCGGGCGGGCCGGCCGCGCTCGTGCTCAACGCGGGCGACACCTACCAGGGCTCATCTTCTTCAACGTCTTCAAGTGGCGCATGGCCGCCAACCTGACGAACCTGCTCGAGTTCGACGCCATGGTGAGTAACGGGTCGTAGTCATCGCCGCATTTGCTGCACACTCAGAAAACTGTATCTTTCTGGGAAAAAAAACCTAACTTTGCCGGTAAAAAAGGGGGAAAAGAATTACACCTCAACGAAATTTGTTTAATTTTACAATTTTTGTTTTGTTTTGTGTTGATTTTTAAATGCATTTCTTCTTCACCCGAACGAAAAATATGATTTTGGTTTTCTGAAATTTTCTTAATAGTGAAGAAAATTTATTTTCCCTAAAGACGCTGTTTTCTGGGTGCTGTCGGCTTTGGCGATTGGCAGCAGCAGCAAGCAAAATGCGACAGCGGTAGAAATTTTTTAAAAAAACGTAGAGATAAGTCGGTTTATATTCGGCGCGTTCCATGCGGCTATTCACTCTGCTCTGATGTACCTCGCGTCCGGCTTTATCGCAATACCGAATATGAATTCGGTCCATGAGAGGCCCCGGAGCCCTCTCGCCGGACATCACCGCGTGAGGTGAGAGAGAGATATTGGAGGAGAGGGGGGGAGGCGGCCGGTGGAAAAATAAGCGCGGCAAGCAAACCCACCGACAAAATGGGACTGTATCGACAAAGGTGGCATGATGGGAAGGCGCCTGGAGGCGAGGGAGGGGGGGCGGAATTCGCCGAAATGTTGGTTCGTATATAGCATATCAGGCAAAGTCAAGCTCATTCTGTACGACTGTACTAACATAATGTCATGTCAAACACAGAGTGCCAGGTTAGCTTGTTTTCTTTGTTGTTGTTTGTTGCGTTGGCTTCCGGGAAGGCGAGGAGGATGGTATACATTGGAGATTTTTTGTCCCCAACCGCGGGGGAAGTCAGAGGCAGAGGCGATGCGCCGCACGCGCCGCGATGCGGCGTGAGCCCCCGGTACCGGCCGGGCAGGGGGCGAGATACGGGTCCTGGAGGAGGGTCCGGCGTGGAGGAGCGGACCCGGCCGGCGGGCCGGCACAACAGTCATGGTTATGAAAATTGTCGGTTTCCTGAAATGCGTTCTCATGAGTGCGGAGGCGTTCCGCAGCCGCCGCGGCCTCTGACTGACTGACTATGAGGACCGTCCCCAGTTACGTACTCGCACAGCGCAGCCCTCCTTATTCAGTATGGGCTACTCGAGCGAACAGTTGATGCGACACCATCATCGTCAGCGGGGTTCATTCTTGTTATTTCTATTTTTTTATGCCGGGTGAAAGGTGCCGTGTCGCGCTCACGCATATACCACCCTCGCGTATACCACACGATGTGAGTAACGTACTGTGTTCCCCTTCCTCCCTCCCTCTCGGTACGCCCTCAACCCCTCCCCGCCCCCTTTCCCCTTAGCGTCCGTGCCTACGCGCACCCCTATCCCCACGAGTGGTTCCCGACCTGTCGTGGAGCTCGTGTCACTTGTCGCGGGGAC